ATAATCTCACACGATACTTTCAATGGCAGTCTGAGGAGGATACAGGTTTCATTATTGCCACCTTATAGTAAATGAAGCAGAATGACTGAGGCCCTTCACATCACAGGATGGTTGACACAAATTAGAAGCTATTCTCTAAGTTAGGACTTGGTTCTCAGTGTGAGCCTAACAAAATTTCATTGTTTTCTCATTACACCATGAAGTAAAAGGCTGTTGTGCCATTCATTACTTCATTAAATTTAATTTCATTCTGAGTAGAATAAAAATTTATGGACTCAGAATTTATTGTAGTAGGGTTTATGTTAATTCTGACCCTTTCTTCTCAGTGCCTTTTGTCTTTTCCATCAGGAGTTGTTATGCATTGAAAGAATTTTTATCATTAAATTTAGAGTTTTCTAGAGAATACCATAAAGATGGGACTTTAAATACTCTGGTTCATAGCAATAAGAAGAATATGAATCCTTTTAGAGTATTTTTTTAAAGATGGTCTTAGGACTTTAACACTTTCAAACATATCTTAAACCACATGTTTTTGTTCAAGTAATACAAAGTTTTTCACACTACTATCTGCTTCTACGCTTGTATCCCAACTATTATGGGCACTATCCTCTATCAGCTCAAAAACTGGCCAAAGAAAGGATGAAGTTAAACCACACCAAGGGTACTTCTGTGAGTTTCTGGTGCAGTGGTGTCCTAGTAGACATTATCCAAGGATCAGAATAAGTCACTTCTCAGTGACTTCTATAACATTTTGACGAGGACTCATTTCTCATTTGTATTGATGTCTGCTTCACAGCCTCAATCCAAGTGAGGGAGAGTTACATGTAGCCTGGGGTGTTATTTACTGTGTGGCACAGGACCTCACTTGGCTGTTCAGTGTTAACAGAGGAGTCCCACTTGTTTCACATCAGGATTGGGGTCCTCCTGACTCTTTATATCTTACTACTACATGACTCCATTATAAAGCACTTGGCTTTACCAAATTAGAGACTTGCTCCCGGCCATTTCCTCACCCTCATGCTCATAGCAAACATTTGTCTCACTGTAACCTTGAAAGGCTACTAAAATGGAACATTAGTTTTACGCACAGAGTTAATTCAGGACTATACTTTAGAGATAAGAAAAAAAATGTTAACTGTATACCTAATAAGAAATTTGTGTAAATTTCATGAATATATGTTTGTAATTTTCTTCTTCAAAAATATATATCTTTAAAAACATACTAAAATATAGCAACATTGTGATCAAATTATATCTCTTACTTTCCTTGAGAAATACCATTTTTCCATATAGTAATGAGTTGATCTCTTTATTCCAAATGTTCATTTATCCAGTCTATATGCAACAAGTACTTCATGAATACTTGTCATGTATCAGGCTCTGAAAATATGGATTCAGAAGTCACAAAGGGTCTTTTCCCTCATTGGAAGGGGAAATGTATATCAACTAGAGACAAAATGAATAGTTCAATTCTAATTTTGGAAAAAGTAATGAGAGCCACAATGGGAGTCTATACATGGAGTCTGCTTAGCCTGGGATTTCTGAGAATGCTTCCTTGAGGAGGTGTTGACTAAGGGTTGGTCTAAGTTCTTCCTAGATCATAGGTTTCAATGCACTATTTTAAATTCTGCACATATACTAGGTAATAATTGAGAGGTGGTTACCAAGTTTTTGAGGCCACTGAGAAAAGGAGTAATGAAACTTGTTTAGTTTGTCAGTTAAATGTACCTAAAAGTCAAAAAAATAGTGCTTTTCATAGGAAGCAATAGCACTCATTTGATGTCTTCATTTGTAAAAATTCAAAAAAATATTATGTGAGAAATTAAATTCAAAACTTTTGCTATGTGGGAAATCAATTTAATGTCATTATTAATATAAATGCTTCCTTCTTTCCACTGACTTTTACTAAAGACTTCTCATTTTTCAATTTAGATTGAGTGTGGAGTGGACTTAGGCCTGTAGTGTGCTTATGCAATGCTATGATGACTGGGCAATTTTGTCAGGAGGATAAACTGGCATTGTGCAGCTTCAGTGGGCAAATGGCTGATTTTCTGGCATTTGGGAAGTTGTTAGTTAATGCAGAAGAAAGTAGTGCCACTATTCACAATAGCCAAGTTATAGAAACAGCCAAGATGCCCCACCACTGATGAATGGGTTAAGAAAATGTATCTATACACAATGGAATTTTATGCAGCAATGAAGAAGAACGAAATGTTATCATTCACTGGTAAATGGATGGAATTGGAGAACATCATTCTGAGTGAGATTAGCCTGGCCCAAAAGACCAAAAATCGTATGTTCTCCCTCATATGTGGACATTAGATCAAGGGCAAACACAACAATGGGATTAGACTATGAGCACATGATAAAAGTGAGAGCACCACAATGGAGGGGTGAGGATAGGTAAGACACCTAAAAAACTAGCTAGCATTTGTTGCCCTTAACGCAGAGAAACTAAAGCAGATACCTTAAAGCAACTGAGGCCAATAGGAAAAGGGGAACAGGTACTAGAGAAAAGGTTAGATCAAAAAGAATTAACCTAGAAGGTAACATACACACAGGAAATTAATGTGAGTCAACTCCTGTATAGCTATCCTTATCTCAACCAGCAAAAACCCTTGTCCCTTCCTGTTATTGCTTATACTCTCTCTACAACAAAATTAGAAATAAGGGCAAAATAGTTTCTGCTGGGTATGAATAATAAAAGAAAAAAAAAAAAGAAGTGCCATGCTCAGGTAACAGAGAGAGGGTGTGCTTTTGCCAAGAAGAATTTGGAGAGATTCCTTTTCCCAGAGTTGTCCATGGAGATAGACAACTTACATTAGCTAGATCAAATGATCAAATAGTGTCCAGCATTTCAAATAACTTCAAATTTTGCATCTGATGAATATGGCACCCATTCAGATATTCAGACTTATTAAGAATTAGGGACATATTAGACCAAATATGAAAATTGTGCCACAAACATCTGCTCTACTATAGAAGTAGAGAATTACAGATTATTGAGGGTTCCCCCAGGGAGACATAGGAGGAAATTAAGATACAGGAAACCAGAATTACATTCAAAATTCACATTCTAGATTGCTTCCTATGGGAATGAATCATCCTCATATACAGCTATTGCTTTAAATGTCAACCAAAGACTAGGAATTACTAAATGTTTAGCCACTGATTATTTTCAGAATTAAACAGAATAACTTATTTGACTTTACAAGTATCTTTGAAGTTGGAAATTCTGGTCATCTCACCTTTGATAGTTTGAAACAAAAAACAGACATTTATTAAAAAAAAACACTAAAACATAGAATTACAGCTTGTCTTTTTAATCAAGAAATGAGGTAGCCATGAACAGGATTTTGAAAACTGCCAATCCCAATTGCATAGGGTGTACTCTTAAAGCTTGCGTAAAGGCAGCTGGGGACAGTTAAGTTGAGCAAAACACTACATTGTTTAGTGTGCAATGGACTTTGGCACCTACTTGAAGAGGTGACAAGGGTAGTAAATAAAAATGAGAACGTTTCCAGTTTCAAGTAAGTATGAGCTGGGAATGTACGACATTTCTAATTGGCATTATGTCAAGTCTTCTCTCACCACGAGCCATGGGAGCATCTTTGACACAAATTCTTATGATCCAATGAACAATACCCTCATCCCTTTTGGCCATTGTTTTTATCCCAGTCTTTCTTTGTTGCTTACTGAATTTAGTGACATGTCTGGTCAATAAGTCATTGTGATGTTTCAGCATAATTGTAATTATGCAGAGAAATGTCCTATTCTTAGTTTAGTATCACACGAATGGTAACTGTGCACCTTTATTGAGCATGTGCTATTTTGTCATATTCTTATTTTAATAGAGTTTTATACAACTTATTTAATTTTGATATTAATCATATGCTTGCTGTCAGATGCCGTGGTGCTGTACATATTCCCATTCAAATATAAGTAATATGAGACACAAATGCATTAACTTTTCCTATGTCTCATAGTAACTTACAGATGAGGCCAGGATGTCAATTCTACCCAGCTGACTCTGGAGTGTATACTTAACTATTAACATTCTGCCTTTACTGTGGACCAAAAGGGGGAAGTAGCTTAGAAACAACTAGGAATATCTTTTTTACCTGCTAGCTCAGTGATTCTGACCATTTTTGTCTTTGGAGCCAATGTAAATGTGTCTTATTCTCTACTGAATTCTCCTATTAGAAAAAGAGAGGAAGCAAGAGGACTGAGTGGAAAACGATGGAGTTTTTGACCTAAGTCCTCATGGTTTTATTTATCTATTTTAACCCAGGGTGGCATCTTCCATTTGCTTCACCTAAGATTAGAAGTCCCTCTATGCAAAGCTCCAGATAGACTACAGCTGACTGAATATACAAGCAGAGGGGATATCCAGAGAAGAAGTACTTTGTAAATGCTTGTTCAAAAATATACTAATGCTAGTAAACAGTTCCAAGTGAAGAGAATGTGGGAAGTGATGGGTGGGGCTAAGCTAAACTTTTGAAGCTTCCCAATGAGCAGTGACCTGGCTAATTCTCTAAGAGACTTCTGTCTTTGGTGCTTGTTTTCTAAGCACACTCCTCCCAATATTTTACATACTAAATGGAGGCAATGAACCAAGATATCTATCCACACAGATGTAGACTGTGCTCCTCCCGCTTACTTTCAAAGGCATTCTTCTAGCAAAATGTACATACACACACACACACACACACACACACACACACTCTCAATTTACTAAGAGAACAGCTAAGAGGTGGGGAGGAGAGGGAGGGGGTGGGGGAGGCAAGGGAGGGGGTGGGGGGAAGGGAGGAGAAATGGTCCAAACATTGTATGCACCTATGAATAATAATAATAAAAAAAGAACAGCTAAGAGCAATCAACTTGTCTATTGATCTCATCTTTTAATTCCTAGTCGATTATAAGAAAGGTGACTTTCCCTCCCTAGGGATTAATAGATTGATACTTTTTTTTTTCTTCTTTCTCTCTATTTTGAATCACAGCAGAATCGAAGAAGAAGAAAAAGGAAGGCAAGAAGCAGGAGAAGATGCTGGATTAAAAGTTACCACCTTCAGTGGAACATGAAAAGGACATCAGCAAACAGGATCAGTTAACTATTGCATTTATACCTACTGTAGGCTTTTTATTCAAAAATTATCTATAGCTTAAGTACACAATAGGCAAAAACAAAGAAAAAAGAAATTTTTTGTAGTAGCATTTTTTAAGTGTATACCATAGTACCACTAGGGGCTTATAATAAAAGCCTGTAATGCTATTCAGAAAGTTGGCTGTAGTACATGATAAATGATAGACAATTGAGGTAAGTTTTTTGAAGTTATTTGATATTTCACATTTAAATTTTTTTTTTTACATTTTTTTTCTTTTGGAGCAATTTATGTTATGACCATGTAAACTACTTCTCTTGTTTGGTCTTTTATTTTCACCTAGATTTTTTTCCCAATTGAGAAAAAATATATACTAAACAAAACAGCAATAAAATATAATCATTCCATTTGAGGAAATTATCTTGTTTCCTGCCAATAATATTTTTAAAAATTAGCAAAACGAGAGAAAGAGGCAGAGCACATAGTGCAATGTGGACTCTTTTTTTTTTTTTTGCTGTAGTACATGATAAATGATAGACAATTGAGGTAATTTTGAAGTTATTGATATTTCACATTTAAATTTTTTTTTACATTTTTTCTTTTGGAGCAATTGATATGACCATGTAAACTACCTTCTTGTTTGGTCTTTTATTTCACCTAGATTTTTTTCCCAATTGAGAAAAATATTACAAAAAAAACAACAATAAAAATATAATCACCATTGAGGAAATTACTTGTTTCCTGCCAATAATATTTTTAAAAATTAGCAAAACGAGAGAAAGAGGCAGAGCACATAGTGCAATGTGGACTCTTTTTTTTTTTTTTTTATTTTAAGAAAAGCATTAAAGCATGAAATTCTTTCACTTTGGCAGAAACATTTGTTTTCTTGATGAAATTATTTTTTCCATCTGAAGAAAAAATACTAGGAAAATAAATCAAGGTGATGCTGAATAAAAGGTGCTTTTGTGTGCAATAATTTGATATTGTAACTCTCCCTTTGTCACCTATACAATGAGAAGTTATCATACAAACTAGTTAAATCACTCATGGGGAAAACTGTTACACATTTTTGGGTACTTTTTTTAGATTTAGCATCCCTATTTCAAAATCCCAAATCTGAAAAACCTTAAAATTTGAAAAATTTTGAGCACAGATATGACTCTACAAGTGGAAAATTCACCCCTGATCTCATTGAGGGGTCACAGTGAAAATGTAGGTGCATGAAAAA